GGACGTATCGACCCTCCGAATTGCGAAGCTTGTGCGCGCGGGAGTGCGAATTGTGCAAAAGGCCACCCTAAGGCTCAGGAAGGTCCTATAGGGAATCCCTTTTGGGTTTCCTCGTGTTGGTTTCGTCCTTCTAAGTGCTAGAAGTTGATACCACGCACGCGAAACTCCAGAAGGGGACGAAAGCGGGTCGAACTAAAACGAGGCGGGTCCCACTTCTAAGGTTCTAAGATAGTCGAAGGGAGATTCCTAAGACTAGATCCTAAACCCTAAACGGAAGACTAGACCTCACAAAAAAATTGAGGTCAACAGTTCCACTCAAGTTATAAGGAGAATCGTGATGGTACAGGTGACCGTCCCTTTATTAAGAATGCAAGCAGGAAAAGTGGGAAGACAACATTCTTTTTCTCAGAGTCAGAAATTTCAACCCTGACTAACAAATTCAAGTTTGTTCTCATTGAGAAATTTCAGTGGAGACACCCACCTATGGAGGTTATCAGGAAAAATTTTGATGACCTCAAATTAGCGGGAAAGTGGAAAGTGGGGCTAATGGATGAGAGACATGTTTTGATTAAGTTAACCGTTCCTGAAGACTACACTCAGATTTTCTCCAAAAAATATCTTAACATTGCTGGTAAACCAATGAAACTACTCAAGTGGTATCCTGATTTCGACACAAATCATGAAACTCCCACTGTACCGGCATGATTTAGTTTACCTGACCTCAAGTTGCATTTTTTTCACCATCATGTTCTCTACTCTATTGGGACAACTTCGGGGATCCTTTGAAACTAGATCTGCCTACTTTCAACCTAACCACCTTTTGTGGCCAGAATTCTTGTGAAAAGAGATATTACTTTGCCTGATGTTACTGAAGTCTGGCTGGGCACAACCCATAATGGTTATTGGCAACAAATCGTTATGGAGCACAGACCCTCATATTGTACCCACTGTGAGATGTTTGGTCATGTCCTTGATAAACACCACAATTTTCATCCAAATTTGAATTCTAAAGTTCAAGAGAATAAGACTGGGTCCAACCCCATTGCTCTGGACGTTTTATTTCCACTTGAGGAGGATACTACCAGACATGAGGTGCTTATTGCCCTTGAGAAACCCCCCATGACACTGTTGTTACTGTTACTGATACTGTGATGTGATGCCGATACCTTCAAACCCCATAAAAAAATAATACTAATGGACTATTACCTACAAATGATAGTGTTCAGACTGATAATCATGAGAGCCTCATAGCTCCACTTCTTTAGGAAGTATCCGGTGTAGAGGCAACTCATACTTCACATATACTAGAACTTATTGTGGGTAATACAGTTGGACTGATTCTTCGGAAGAGGAATGACAGGTCTATTCCAGGAGGAAGAAGAAGAATGGAGGCCGACTCCAGCTCGGGAACATATTGGATGATACATTGGTTACTACTGGCAATGACAATCATCTTAACAGCTTAGTAGCTTGCTCCTACCCTAAAATTAGAGACAAAGGCAAGACCAAATTAGGTCGCTCTCTAGCCACCTGATACTATGTATTTCGGCACTGTTAGACTTTTTATTTTAGTATCTAATGTATTTTTCTATTTTTTTACTAGTTTTGGAACCATTTGTGGTTTTTGAGTTGGTTGGGCCCTCCCACATATTGTATCTTACAAGAGTGGACTTACAACTGACAAGCATATGCCATATATATATATATATATATATTTGTATCACTTTCTTTAGTATCTAATCTGTTATAAGGATAATAAAAAAATAGAATTTTTAGCCTCACAAATTTTTCTCTTAGATTCTCTATGAGTTACCTTAATATTTTTTCCAGTTCTCTAAGCTTTACATTTAAATTAATTTTTTTAACACAACTTTTTATATTTTATCTTTTCCTGCACATTATTATTTCACCACCAATTATTTTTATTTTTTAAAATTTTCTTTGTTATGCTCTAAGTACATGCCACTTGTTTGATAGTGCTTGTTACTTTATTTCATATAGAATTGCTTCTTTACTAACATCTCAAATTTTGAAATCTTGAAATTTACTATTAAAAATAATTTTATTTTTGGCTTTTAGGTTTCTCCATCTAATTATATGATAATGTTTTCATGTATTCTTTATCTTACAACATTTTATCTTAAAATTCAGAATTAATAATCGATGTTTAGTATTTAAATTTTTACATGGAATGACGTTACATCTTTACACTCGACGATCTCTTTTTTTCATAATAAAATAATCAAATTTTGTTTTATTAGATTTATTTCTATAAGTGATATATGCTAATCTCTTTTCTTAAATAAAATATTAATAAATAACAAAATCATACACAAAACAAAATTTAATGTCGGTCTACTTTCTTTATTAATCACTTCAGAACCATATCCACAATGAATATTTCTAAAATCTTCCACTACTCTCCTGACATGTCCATTTAAATTTCCTCCAATAAATTTTTTTTTTCAAAGTGCACCATATGTATTAATTCTTCTGTCATTTCAAAAATTTCCTTTTGAAAGTATATTTAAACTTAATTGAAGAGCATAAACATTTATAATATTAAAAATTTTAGTACAACCACCAATTTTTAAGGCTATAATTATATCTCTAATTCTATTAATTTTTACAAAATTATTTTTCAAACTCTTATTTATAATTACACCAACACTTTTTCTAATGTAATTTTTACTTGAATTTCAAAGTTTAAAACCTAAGTCATCAATCTCCCTAGGATTTTCTCCAACTCATTTAATTTTTTGAATGAATAAAATATTTATTTTCCTATGAACTGTAATATCTATCAATTCTATTAATTTATCCGTAAGAGTACCTATATTCCAAAATCCTATTCTAATATTAGTTTCATGGACTTACTTCTTTACCCGCATTCGTTCGTAATGTGAGAATCCTGACTTATTTGACACTATATGTGTGCGTTGGTGTAGTGTCTATTGCACACTTTTTATTATATTCATGCCATACAATACATCGCTTCCAGGGGACACCCTAACATTTACACAAAAATTTAAAGGATTCATGTCATGATTTTTTGACATATTTTTCACTGGCTATTGAGGATATGCAATCGGGAGGCAGTGCTCTGACAGAGATTTGACGTGATTTATTTAATTTTTGCATTCATGTAATTTGCAACTTTATATCTGATAACAATTGTCTGTAACGTGCAGCATAATTTCACAAGAGCGCTTGGACCGGATTACTCAATTTATCAGCGACTTGAATCCCATTGATCCTGTTCCTCGAGTAATTGGAGAGCATGTAAGTGTTGATGAGAATTGCGATTACCTCGGGAGGGAATCCTTCCACAGTTGGACGGAATTTGCAATTCCAATTGACAGTGTAGCAGGCCTTACGTCATCTTCAGCTGAGAGGGAGGCTGCGCCAATTTTATTCAGGCCACCAGACTGCCATTCTCCAGAAAGTGCTTGTTTTAGCGAAATTTCAGACACAAGTCATGCAAGAGAATTGGATAAGGAGTCCAGAAGGTCGTGGCAATGTTTGGATGACTGCACCTCGGAAAATTCTGGATACCGTTCCGATAGCTTTGAAACAGTTAGTGGAGTCTTTGAAAATGGACAGACTTCACCTGAGCTGAATTCAACAATTTATCATGCTAGCGGCTTCCGATTAGAACGTGTAGAAAGTTTGGAGTCTATCTACAGGTGATGTCTGCTAAATTCCTTTTTTGAAACTTTCTATTAATTTTTGTTTGTTAATCATGATGCTTGATGGATAATTTTTTTTTTAATTTTCTCTAGTAAATAAAAATTTGCCAATTTACAGCTAGGGTTAGGTTAAAAGTGCTCTCGAATTAGGACATTTTTGGTGGTCACACATTCATCTGCATATGCTTAGATGTGTTGGGTGGATCATTTATGCATAGGATATCCAAGGATCTGAGTTTTCTAATAGGGCTAGGATGATACGGTGAGTGTATATCACACTAAAAAACTTAGGATTCATAGATAAGAGATCAGTAATTGCATATTATTTTATTTTCTTTTGGTGAAAACTCGAAACCAGGAGAAACTGAACCAAACTGATAATAAAGTGGTCAATTGAAATCAAATAAGTCAATGCAAAATTGAAACCATAAAAGAAGTGCAATTGAGCTTTTTTACGTTGTGGTTTTAAAAGTTGAACCAAATTGTTTTTTTGGAGTGGTTAAACTATGTCTTGGTCCACGGACTGGTTTGAGATAGCAATGAAAATAGGACTGTCTCACATCTGAAAAAACAGTTAGTTAACCCAGACCTTTGAGTTACTGCCTATTTTAAAGAACCGGATGGTGCTTATAAGATGAATCAAAATTGTTGAAAGAAAATATAGATTTCTCATTGTGTGGATTGATTCATTCATGCACTGTTGCCTTAGGATTGACTATTCTTTGAGTGCAAATGATAGGCTCACCATATTATTTATTATAAATTTGATAGAATTAAACTTTTGTTTTACTAAAATATTGAGATAGGGAGATGGTCTTGGAAACTAGCTCCTACTTAGTAGATTTTTTTGGCCCTTTTTCAAACGCTAAAGCAAAATCTAAAATAACTTTACCTTCTTCATTAGTTACTCCAAAACCGTAGCCACCATGAATATTTCTGAAATCTTCTACCACTCTACCGACATGTCCATTTAAATCTCCTCCAATAAAAATTCTTTCTTCAAGAGGTATCATTTGTATTAAGTCTTCTAAGTCATTCCAAAATTTATCTTTAGACTCTGTATCTAAACCTACTTGAGGAGCATAAACACTTATAATATTAAAAATCTTAGTATCAATGATAATCTTCTTTTGTCCCTTTTATAATTAGGTTTTTATAAAATACTTTTGTCTTCTTTCTTGTGCTTCTTTTGGAGAGTTATTTGGAAATAATTATATACTTTTAATATTTATTATATTACCTTGATTCAAAACCTGGTTGAATCTTTGACCCTTTTATTTTTTTCAGTTTATTGAATGATTCAATTTTTAAAACCATGATTAAATACGCAGTTGTAATCAATTCCAGGATCTACTGAAATACAAAAAACCAAATATTTTGAAGAGAGATTTAAGGGAAAAGATTACCAAATAGAAGATAATCTGGTCCTTTATATCCATACATGGTGGTGACTTTCCATATGTTACTTTTTATTCTTGTACGAGACTGGAAGAAACTCCGCATCTAATCGGCACACCTAACATTGAAAAGTGGATATATAATTTTATTGATAAATAACTTGATGTTTACATTCCTTAGATTTCTATACTTGAGAACATCTCTTCCAACTCACCAGATTTAACACGCTAAGCTACAGGTGCCAAAATCATAACATGATGTCCTGGAACCTACAAAGCGATTATCTCATGCAAATAGCCCAAATAAGTTGTTTCATGGAATTTAAATAGTGCCAAATAATCCATAGAAATTTTTAAGGAATTTAAATAATATGTTGGAATGTAAAACAAAGCATCAGAATTGATGTATTAATCACATAAACTGAAGCATATAGTGGCTGGAAAAGGGGGGTTGGGTAGGCTTCCTATGTTAAAACGCATGGGGGGTGGGGGAGGCCAGTTTGTCATCCCCAATTCCCAAGGGCAAAAAATTCTAAGAAAGCGAGCGAGTAGGTTCCTAAATTCTAACCAAAAAATATTTAAAACACAAATAAGGGGGCGACATCGTGCTTTTCTTTATAAGCAACTAAGGGGCCGTTTGGGGGGGATTATCCTGGTGCGGCGGCGTTTTCGGGACGCCGCCGTTGTGTTTGTATAACGCGG